AGGGGAAGCTCTGATTTTTCATGATAAAAACCCCCAAAATCAAATATGAAAATGTATAGGTATTTAGAATGTATTTTGTTATAGTGACTGAGGCACTGGCAGGCTTCCAAATTGCTTTGAAATTGTAAATATATTGAGAAAACATTGTGTTCAGCTGATACCTATATGAAGTGTCATTTCATTTTAATCACGGATTTGAGGGTTTTTATCAGAGCATTTGTGATGTTTTTTTTAATCAGGGAAAACCAGGATCCCTGATCATTGTCAACAGCTGCTATCTTCACATACCAAGTCCCAACAATATGCAAATAATATTCTGCATTCGTATCATATGGTACCACACACGGCATATACCAGAGATGTAATGTGACACTGAATATTCCTCTGATGCCAACATAGTGTCACTATTCCCAAACATCAACAGGTGAGGGAGGAGGAATTTACAGGACAGAGGAAATGAACACTTAAAGGGAGTGAGAGTATCAAAAATCATAACATTTCACTAAACTTTCACCTGAAAATCCCTCTGTTTCCCTAAATGGCCCCTCTGCTCAGCAGCTGCTGGTTATGGAGGGATGTGGATTTTCCTGCTGCCTGTGGTGAACTGCACTTTTAGTAGGAAAGTCAAACAAGCAGCTGGCTGGTTTGTAGTTGGCTTCTCTTTCAAGCCCTGCATTGCCCTTTGTTCTGAATAAAACCTTAGAAAGCAGAGAGGCTTGGGGACTGCCCGGATCGTTACATAAACACTGGCTTGAGGGAAACTCACTTGTCTGCCTGATTTCTTTTAAAAAGTGTTAATTAATTCATTCATTGTTTCAATTCACCAGTATGGAAGTTACAACCTGCTGCTCAGTTTGGGGTTGGCTTATGGTATGGGGTGTCAGGGGTCAAGGTGTGCTGCAGAACTACTATCCACAGAAGAGGAATATCAAAAGGCAAAAGAAATGGCTCTTCAATAGCCACAGGATGCCATTTTATACACAGAGCAAGTTTGATTTGACAGTCTTGATGGCAGATGGGCTTATCCTGGTAGGGCAGACTGCAGAATTCAAAAATATAACTTTAAGTTGAGGAGTCTGTCATTGTCCATACAGTGTACAGCACAGTAGTTTTAATGCAACAGTTGATAAATTCCACCAGTGACGTCACAAAACAGACCCCAGAATGCATGCTAAAGATGAGCAATTATCTGACAGTGACTGTCGCCTGCTAGGCATTTTATTTTATTTTATTTTTTTAAACAAAACCTTGTTAATGATCACCTCACCTGCAATGCATGTCCAGGCAACATGTGTGCAATGGAATGTCTAATGTGTACATTCAATTCTCAGGGCTGCATATAAAAATCAAGCTGTTGGACATGCTTCCATCTGTTTAGATGCTCGATATGCTAAATTGTTATGATCCTGTGAAGGAACTGGGCCTATAGCTTGTGGTCCAGCACAGGTTGGAAGAAACTATGAACTACTTTTCTCGGCACTCGCTTGCAGTAGCTCCAGGCACCCTAAAAAGCCCTTTTCTATAACCAGCATGCTCCCTGCTATTCCAAAAACTGAGTCAGGAAGGGCAATACAGAACTTGGTACATTGGTTTTATGCCGGCTGATAACTTCCTCACACTAGGAAAATGCTCAACTGTCCATGTAGAGCAAACCAAAGACACTGTTCGTGTTGATCTGTGACTCAAAGGGATCTCATCCAAAAGCATTCAGTTTTTTAATATTATTTTCTTTGTGCAAAGGCAGGTTTAATGAAATATAAAGCCTGTGATTAAAAGTGCATGCATCTATGAAAAGCTGGATTTTCAGCAGTTGCTCAGCATGGGCCTAACATTGGTCCTGTTTGAACAGACACCAAGCAACTTTGAGGATTTGTAAAAATCCAAACCCAAGGGTTAAATGAGTGTCTGGGGTAACAGCTTCTTAATGGGAAACGCTCTGCAATAAATGCTGCGTGAGAGAGGAGCGTGCTCACTCATGTCCTTAAACAGCACAGAAACAGAGCTACGTGACACTCAGCTGTTTTTGCTCCACACAGGTTCCAGAGAGTATTCACTTGGTTTTGATCCATGTGAATATTCACCACAAAGCTTTGCTTTGAGTTTCTCATTTGAAATCAAGCAAAACTCTGCCAAAATCACAGCACATCAAAACCACAGGAAACCATGACTTTGGCTCAGTTTTGATATGGAAGCCAGAAACACAGTGCACAGGTTCAATCAAAACTGGGGCACAGTCCTTTTGGTTATGAAACGTAGCAAAATTTCCAGCAAAACAAGTCAGTTCCTACGCAAGCAAAAGCTGTGAAAGTTTTGCCTGGTTTGGGGTTTTGTTCTAAATATTTTGCATGGCTCTAATCTAGCTTGCATATTTTTTTAACTATAAACACTGGATAAAAGGAATGAGAGTAGGCACTGATTAAAAAAAAAAAAACAACGAAAAAACAATCCTCCGATTTTCTGCTTTTGAAGTTTCAGTTAAAATGGGATTTAACTCCATCTATTAGTTCTAGCACACTTCATTAATGAGAGCAACCTTGGTGGTACTCAGTCTTGGAGGCTTCAAAACCCACACAGTTGCATGTTGAAAATATGTCCATGTTTAAATTGCTTCACAAGGAGATAAAAAGCACATAACCTTTGTAAATCATGTATCGTAGGCTAATGGCAGCAAAGTCATATGTGAGTCCTAGCTGCCAAGCATTAGATCTTTTTCAATAGTATTCCTGTCAACAAACTGCAATAAACTTTTATGAAGGAAAAGGAAAAAAAGACTGAAAAATGATTTTAGGTTTCAAAATAGACACAGGCATAAAGAAAATACACATTTGCAAAGCAGTAAAAAGCAACATGGGATGTGAAAGGAAACCAATCTGGAATCTAGAACAAGATGAGCCAGAAACCTGAAGGCAGAGCAAAGTTGAAGTGGCTCATAAGCCAAGAGTAAAGAAAGGTCAGCATGGAGCAGCTGGTAACCATACAAAAATAAATAAAATAAATAATTCCGGTGTATTATTACACAGACAGCACAAAATGGCAGCCAGATCTCCCAGAACTGAACTGCCTTTTTCATAGATTAAAAGAATAAGTTGACCTGAGTTTTAACCTGTTTGTTAAAACTGGGATGCTAAACTTCAGCTGAGCTCAGGAGGGGGCCATAATACAATGGACCACACATCAGAAACATCTGACCTGTCATAGAGTTTTCGGATGTACACAGTTGTTCTCGCAGTTTTTCCACGTCATCTGGATGAACCTGTTCATATAAAGTGCTGCCAAACCATTCTGACTGGGGCTGGTTCAGCACAGGAGTAACCGAATCCGATACGTAAATCACTCTTCCTGTCTCAGCTGCAACCACAAACAGGAACCCATCTGCAGCCTCCAGGATAAGATGTTTCAGCTCCTGGCAAAGGACAGATTAAATTAGGTTGCCAGCAAGAAACAGAAATCAAAGTACGCACCTGTCACTAGCAACACACAATATCATCTTGCCATAAAAAATAAGTGAACATTTTTAGCATCTCAGGCACTAAAGTGTACATTGCTTATCTTTATTACAAACAACTTCACTGTGTGTTTCTATATCTGCTTTCCTTGGATTATCTCAATCCACTTTACAAAAATTAACTGAGCCTCTGTGATGCGTTTTCATCATAAAAAGGTGAATTAAATTGTGGACAGGGAAAAAAAAAAAAGACATGCTCTATACCATAACCAGTTCAAACTCATTGAAATGAGTGGTGGGCTTCTACGACCAGGTCAACCTGGTGACCTTCTATGACGAGGTCACCAAATCCTTAGATGCAGGGG